TACACACCTAAAATCCTTCCTTCCCAGCAGATAAATATTTTAAATATATAATTCGAACTACATTGAAGCATGTCTGATTTTTTATACATATTTTAAATGTTTGACACTCAAGGGACACTTCCTAGACACCTTGGGCTCGTGCGCGACATGCCATGTGGAACGTTTTGTACTATTCATAGACGTTATAGTTCAGGGCATGAGGAACATATCCTTGATATATCACATACAATTATTTATAGATATTTATAGTTCAAACACGAGGAATGTTACATCAACGCATCAAGGACACAGAAGTACTTTTAAAATATAAAATTAGTGAAATTTGTATTTAATTAAATATTTGTGTAAGAAGGTCAAAATAATGTGAGAAAAAACCTATGAACTTCATGTCAAATATGTTTTTTGTCTACTATGCTCATTTCACTTCTCTGGTGCTAATTGACATTGGGCTATTGGACAAAATGGGAGAAAACAGGGAAGGTGCTTGCCTCAGTTGCCTGTGGTTGTGAAGATTAAGGCATTAAGAAAGAGCCCGGATCATCAGCCACGACCTAGTATGATCACTCTGTGCTGTGTATCAAAGGTAGGGTTTTGCCCATAAGAAGCCACTGTTGACATTTGAAACAGTGCACCATAACTTACCAATTGATGGCGAGGTAAGGAGGAAGGAAAAGGGAAATATTGAAGTGGTCGAACCTTTGATCTTCTTATTTTCTTGGTTTGTCCATTTGTCTCTTCACAAGGGACAATCATCTTCCTGGCTGACCCTTAAATGTCATGTGAATCTCAATGTGGGTCCATCGTATCCTCTCCAATTACTAAGGATATGAAAAAGGACCACATGAGACCATTTCAGAAGATGGAAGCCCAATAATCCAGACAAGAATACAAGATGAAGTGAAGGGAATATGTGGAGTTAAGGGTACTTATTGGCAATCAGCATCCCCTCTCCAACATATAATGTGAATGGGTAAATTTTTAACAAACTGTATACCAAGTCAGATCATTCCTAATCTTTTAAAAAGTTTCAGAGAAGTGACATCCTTAATCATCAACATAATCAGAATTTCTTAATGCAAGTAGCTTCTTCCACAAAGATGATATGTAGCTCAAGGCAAAGTCCAAAGATTAGATCCTCCAAAATCAACCAACGATATATTATGCAACATATTGTTAACTTAAAACAACAAACAAATATCTTAATCATCTTACAATTAATGAAAAAAGTATTTTCCTTTTCCTTCTTTTAATATTTTTTTAAAAAAAAGGACTTTTGGGCCAAAATAGGCCCCCTATGGTTTTGGGCCTGAGGCACAGGCCTCATTTGCCTGGCTACAGGACC